TGCTGGATGCAGAGACAGAACTGCATATTGAAGTGCAGGATTTTAATCAATGAACAGATGGGCAAGTAAGAGATCAAATGCCTGGCGGTAAAGCTGTCACCCAGGTCAAAGCAAGGTTGTCGTGAAAAACGGTTTTGACATTCCGAGCTGCGCTGTTTGCAAGGCAAATGGAAACCACGTCCTGGATCCAAGTGCAGGACCAAAGGGATTTTTAATTAAAGAGGAAATAGAAGAGTAAGCAAAAAGCAAGAGGCAGATTGCGCTGTGGTGATTACTTCTTCTAACTGCAAACCAAAGACGTTGAGTGAAGGGGGTTCAAGGCTAAGTGAGCGATTTAAAGCTCTTAGCGCAAACACTGGGAAGCACAAACAGGAGACTGAACAGACAGCTGAAAACAAAGCTCTGAGAGGGTGCAGGAACAGAGGGCTTTGTTGGCTCTCTTAACGAATAATGAGGAATGAGCTTCTCAGACAGATTGGTTTGCGGCGCTGGGAATAAATGGACAAAAGGAGAACTTTCAAAGCAATACTGCAGCTGAGCTGGAGTTGTTTTGGTTAAGCTGGGACAGAGCCGTTCTAACATCAGACCAGTCAGCTTGTTTCAACCAGCAGGTCCCAAGCAAAGCCACTCTGCGATGTCTGGGTATAATGAGGAATGCAATTTAGAGGGAAGAAGGGAATAAGGAGTCCCATCTGTGTGGAAGAAAAGCTCTTTCATCACTGAACTTGTGGTCAGCGCGGTTTTTCAACCAGCCATGCATTGCTGCTGGTTTGAAGGTCTGGAAGGCTGTGGGGCACAGAAATGACCATCCAAAGGGAGTGGAGAACGCTGCTGGGCTGGTCCTGTCCCCAGGCAGGGACAGAGGTGCCAACAGCAGCACTTGGGATGTCTCCCTGTTCCAGTACCTGTGATGAGTTGTCAGTCATGGTGCTGGGAGCTGTGGAGAACAGGGAGCAAACCTGAAAACTCCTGGAAAAAAAACAGCATGTTTTGCGAAAGAGAACGTCATTTCTTGTGGCAGTTCCTGTTCTTGCTGCTGGCTGCTCTGCCTTGCAGTAAGAAACATCAGCTTTGTGGAAGTTGAGGGCTGTAGAAAGCCGCAGTCAAATGTGTACCCAGGGTTCAAGAGGATGTTTCTTGGGGACCTCAGTCTAACACCAAGCCTCACTGTCACCGTGTGTCTGTCGTGTGTTGTGATATGTCAGTCATGTGTCATTGTGTGTCTGTCGTGTAGGAATTTCTTGGCCATTTACTTGCTGTCCCCAAGCTCCATGGGGGTCCTGTCTCAGAGGGAACCTAGGAGAGGGGTAAGACAAGTGGCTGCAGGCTCATCTCCAGCCTGTCCTTGAAGCTGAGGTGGAAATGCTGACTCTATAATGAGAGTCATTTTGGACCAAGTGCCACATATACTTGACTAATGTGACTCCACGCCAGGCAATCTGGAAATATATTAAACCCGTGAGCTACTGCAGTGATGATTTGCATGTCAATAACAGAAGGGAAATTGCCTCCTACAATCTCCTCTCTGGGTTTTGATCCCAGTGAAGTGCCAGGTATCCCCAACTCCAGTCCATTTAATTGATTGCAGGAGGCAGTGGAGACCTCCTTGTATAATGAGGGTTTCTGGGGGTAAGATGCTCAGCTAATCTCTTGCTTTTACCTCCCTGCTCCTCTGGCTGAGTGAAGGGGGGGGTGTTCAGCTAAAAATGCAACAAAAGCGACTCTTGTTAAGAGGGATTTAGTGCCAAAGTCTATGTAGGTGCCTTCTATCCATCCTCCTGGCTCGCTGCACCGAGCTTAATCGGTCTCTGACTGAATATCAGGGAGCACAGAAACCTGCTTAGAACACAAGGATGAGCAGCTTCCTGAATAACCCCAGAGGGGTGAAAACAACCTCCCCATCCTCTCCAGGAGCCACAGGAGCAGTGGGATCGGGGCAGCACTGGCAGCCACAGCCCGGCAGAGAAGAGTGGAGAGCTGGCAGAGACCTCTCCTCCGCGCTCGCCGGGGACTCGTTTGCGAGATGCATCGTTTAATAGTTAAAACTCTGCACGTTTGCCGTCTCCAGGGCTTGTAATCTAGGACAGGCAGGGCTAAAACAGGCAAGAGGGTAGGTGTTTTGTAGGAGCAGATTACAAAAGGAGCTATTTTACCTTGTAAGATTCTCAGCTCGCCCCCCTGCTGAGGTACTGGCAGCTGTCAGAGCTTGGCAGGTGTCCCCACAGAGATCTGGGAGGGCGAGACAACAGCTTGTCACGCTCGGAGGTGGCACTTCTCCTTCCTAATGCAATGGTGGGACCCACTTGGCTGAAAGGGATCTGTCCCGCAGGTGGGGAGCGTGAGGCTGGCACCCTTGGGGCCCCTGGGGACCTGCACCTATGCTGTTGGCTGTAGCAGGGCTGGAGGCAGGGGTGGCCCTGGTGGCCACAAGCACCACGCTTGGGCTCTCTGCGCTTAGGGATCCTCTTCTAGTCTTGGATGCCCTCAAACTCTTCCCGTCTTGGACTCCACATGAAGAACACACCCTTTTTATAGCTGGGAATGACTCGATCCTTGTTACTCGTCTTTATTTATTTTTTTTTTCTTGCTGACGTTCAGCTGCAGGAGGCTTTTGGCAGCTGAGAACGGAGCCGGCAGTGTTGTCTGGCTGGAGGTGCTTCCTCCCAGGCGGCTGTCCCTGTCCTGCCTGCTCTGATTTGGGGAACCAGGGTGTTCTTCGCTGCTTGCCAGAGTCCTGGGTGCAGGATGTGGCTGGGGAAGAGGCAGAATCTGAGAGGGCTCTGGAGACAGCCCTCTGCCTAGGGGGGGCACGGGTGGCTGCTGAACAGAGGGACATTTTTCCTTAAAGGTGGCAGGAAGAGGGGACGATTCTCGGTCACCATGGTAACTGCAGCCGGTGCAGGGATGCTGGGGAGGCAGCGGGGTGTCCTGGCAGAGATGCTGGGGGTGTGACTGAGCCTGGGCTGGTTGCTGGAGGCCAGTATGTCCTGGTCCCAGGCTGATTTCCAACATTTCAGCCTGTTGATCAGTGCAGATTGTCTGCGAGAGTCTCTGCTCAGCCAGGACCGAGCAGTGCTTGATAACAAGGATGCTCCCAGAATGTGGTCTTTAAGAGCTATTTAAGTTCCTAAATCCCAGGAATCAAAGCAGGCACTCTGGAGCAGAGGCGTCAGTAGCCTCTGGCTTTGCTTCTCTAGGAATCCAAGTTTCCAAAGGCTCCCGGAGCCTGGGATATTGAAATGGCTCTTTGCATGTGCTGATCGTTAAAAATCCAAACCCAAGCAGGTGGATGATCCTTTGTAAATCATCATAGTAACGCTGAGGTGGAGATCTGATCTCAGGAACTCTGCCTGACTGTTATCTCAGCACCTACACTGAGAAACAAGCGAGGCAAGAGCTGGAAGAGAGGGATTTGCAGAGTGCTGTTCTCAGCAGAGCTCGGATGCTGACTTGGGAGCCTTCTTGGAGATAGGGAGAAAGGGCACGGAAAACTGTAGTTCACAGCTTTCCATGGCTCTCTGTTAATTTTCCTGCCTGCTGCTAAATAAAACGCATCCTCTGAAATTCTTCCAAATTAAAACTTAGGCTCCCCTTTCCCCCCTGCCAGTAAGAGTGCAGAGAACAGCCCCTGTTTACTACCAGCAGTGTAACTCCATCTTTATCGGGTTCCTCCAGCACTCTGCAAAACTTGGAGTTGTTAAACATTTCACTTTATACGGCTGGATTTAATTACTTTGGAGATGGAATGTTAAATCTCCTCTGTTGGTTTTTATGGCTTTCAACAGGAAGGAGGCTGAGCTGGAGCAGGAGCTGCGTGTAAATCTCTCTCTGTTGCTGGTATGTAGGGCAAGCACCGTGGGCTGCTCTCCGTGGAGTATGGAAGCTCCTTGCTTGCTCTAAACTCCTTCAGCTCTTCCCCACTGATGGATGCTCCACGCTGGGCTCACCCCATCTGTCCCTGAGCCCTCGCTGCTGCCTGTTCCCCAAAGGGGTGACGTTGGGGTGGGCTGTGGGAGGGTCCTGCTTGGGCTGAGTGAAGGGATGGGAGAAGCTGAGCATGGTGTGCCAGTGCTCCAGTGCTGGCTCCATCCCAGCCTCGTCCTACGGGATATGGTGGGGTATTGACAGGCTGAGAGAGCTGGGGGGTGTTCAGCCTGGAGAAGAGAAGGCTCCAGGGAGACCTTAGAGCCCCTTCCAGTATCTGAAGAGATACAGAAGAGATGGGGAGGGACTCTTTGTCAGGAAGTGGGGCGATAGCTTAAGATGTAACGGTTTTAAACTGAAAGAGGGGAGATTTAGATGAAATCTCAGAAGGAAATTCTTTGCTGTGAGGGTGGTGAGGCACTGGAACAGGTTGCCCAGAGAAGCTGTGGCTGCCCCATCCCTGGAGGGGTTCAAGGCCAGGTTGGAGGGGGCTTGGAGCAACCTGGTGTGGTGGGAGGTGTCCCTGCCCAGGGCAGGCGTTGGGAACTGGATGGTCTTTGAGGTCCCTTCCAACCCAAACCATTCTCTGATTCTATGATACGGGTGCAGTGTGTTGGTGGAGCAGGACCGAGCTGTGCCTTTTCCCAGGAACATGGTGTAGATGTGCAGGAACAAAGTGCAGCTCGGGCACACACACACGGGCTCCTGCCACCTCTGTCACCTCAGGTGGGTTTGTCTAAACCCACACCCCGTCTCAGCCGTGAGGAAGCCTTTCTGATGGAGCACTTTTGATACCCTTTCTTGTCTCCTAGCCCACTTGTTACCTGCTTTCTGGTACTCAAATCTCACGCCTGCGCCCCTCCACGTGCCGCCCCCTCCCCGCAGCCCCCCAGCAGTGAGTGAGTGTCTGCCCCTCGCAGGCTGAGCCCCTCTCCAGAAGCTGCACCTTACATTTTTGCTGTTTGTAGCTGACGATCTGGTTTGCCAGCTGTTTGTGCTGGCAGCTGGATGCAGTTCAGGTCCTGAAAGCTGTGGTCTCCCTTTTCTCACAGGTCTGTCCATTTTGGAAGCAATTAGAAGATTGCTGTTTCTCCCAGCCATGGCGAACGGCTTCGGGCAAGAGCTAAGAGCTCTGTGGAATTGCTTCAGTGGAGCTGATGCCTCCTGGATGTTTCGGTAAATGGCCAATGCTGGGTCATAATTCCATGCAGGTCCTCGGGGATGGAGCCGTAGTTTGGCCAGCGGTGCTGCACGGCGTAGCTGTGTGCTCAGGGTAAGGACAAGCCAGGATGATGCTCTCTACTTTGGTGGGGATCAACGTTCAAGGGCTTTTCACTCCAGAGGGAAACAGGAATGTTTCTCCTTGTTCTGCACTCATGGACTTCTGGCTGACGGCACGTCTGTGTCACGTATCCAGGGCTACCAAGGAAGAGAAAAGCCTGAGGATGGAGGTGGCCCTTTGCTGGCCCATGGAGCTGTGGTCTGGGAAGATGCCTGGTCAGTTGTTAGTCCACCTACCAAATTAGTGATGGTCAGATTGTGCAGCAACCAGCAGCTCGCCTGGGAAATCTTGAATGTCAGGAGTAAGTAGTAGCCACATCTTTTATAGTTACTTTATTAGCAGATGTTTAATAGCTCCTGCTGATGTTGGGTTACGTGCCTGGGCAGCCATGGGCAGCAGGGCTGGGCAGGCTCCCCGATTCCCAAAGCCTGAACCCGCTTATAACGGGGCTTCTGCAGAACCTTCGCTGCCTTTTTGTTTTTGTTTAGTTATTACATTTCGTCTCTAGTGACTACAGAGCTGACAGCTGGTAAAGATTTGCATATGGCATGAAATTAAGTGAGTTCATTTTAATGTCTAATCTGTGCAAAGCTGAAATTTGGTTTCTAAAAGCCTCGCTTTGCCTTATCATTGCTGGCACATCTGCTTCGTGCATTAGCCTTTGATTTCTAAAAGTTTATTTTCCCTGTGTTTCACCAGGACGAACAATTAGAGCAGATCTTTGCAATCTTTTGTAAATGCTTTAACACCAGAGCTCAGGATCCTCCGGGGCATGCAGCAAGCGTCCTGCCTCGCCATGGAGGAACACCCTTTGCATTTCCAGAGTGCCTTTCTGCTGGGCTCTTCCCACCAGCCATCTGCCAGGAGAAGCTCCCCCAGCCCTTGCTGCCGTGGCATTTTCGGCAGAATACTCTGGGATTACACAATGCCAGCCCTAAGAGGGCTCCTTCCAGCCAGTGCCTCTTTGATCTGCTTCCCTCGAGCGTGCAAAAGTTACTTCTAAGCCTTCCCTTGTCCTCAAAGTGTGAAGTCAGCTTCAGAACTGGGCTGTGCAATTTATTTCAGTTTCTCTTCGGTTTTTTCTCGTTCACCTCTTGCACAAAGTGTTAAGAGGGGAAACCAGCTGTGCCCAGCACGGGGCACGGAGGGGAAATTACTCTTAGACCTCGTCTATGCTCGGGGAATACAGACACAGTTTCTGGGGTGTGGGGAGCCCCTGGAGTAGCAGGTCCTGCAGCTCGTAGCATCCCCAGTTTGTCCCCGAGATCAGAGCGTGCCCCATCAGGGCTGTTTTGGGGCTCAGGGATGAGGCAGCAGGTAAGAGTGATGTACGGGAGGACACAGCAGCTGCTAAAGCCAAACCAGTGACTTTTAACTAACAGGGCTTTTTACTGGTATTCTAAGAGCGGAGAAAATGCTGCCTGGATGTTGTCAACACTTTGTAGGAGCTGTTTCCTTCAGTGTAAATGAGCTGGTGGACTGGCCCACCAGGACGCTGGGCTTGTGGTGCCCAGCTTTGGGAGAAGATGACAAAAGCATCTGGCAGGAGTGTTTGATGTTTATGAGATGTCTTTTCTGATTCAGGTCTCCACCGCAGCGGTGTTGGGAGGATCCAGGAATGCAGATGGAGCACCTGAAAGGAGGTTCTTGAATATTGCTAGCTGGGAGAGAAGTGAAAAATACTTTGAGTCTCAACAAACGAGTGCTGAGAAGGCATCCATCCATCTGTGGCTCCTGAGTAGAGCTCTTGCAAGGAGTTACTGTTCCACAGACCAAAATGGCTCAGGTTTGTTCATGCGCTGAAGGGGAGGTCAGATCCAGACAGCAGAGAAGGGGGATGCCAGGACAGTGATGCTGGAGACAGACGGGTGGGACTGGGTTGGGCTGGCCAAAATGTGTCCCAAGCTGGGCTCCCTCCAGCACCACCGTGATTCAATAATGCTGAAGTTCAAGAGAGCACTTGAGTCGCTCTTTTCTCATGTTCTGCACCAAAGATCTTGGCATCGTTCAGACCTCAGCTAACCAGTGACTTGGGATGTGTCTCCTTCTCCTTCTCCTGCCTGGGGTGGTGAGAGGACAGATCCTCATTATGCAGCCATGAAGTGGGGTCAGAACCCAGCTGGTGTGGGGTCCCCTGCCACAGCCACAGCCCCCCTGCATGCCCCGGGTATGTGGTCTGTGCTTGAAAAGAGGCAGAAAGCAGAAGCAGGGAGTGGGTATGACAAGAGCACAGTAATCTCACGTTTGTGTAATGAGCTGGAATTGCAAACCTTGTGAATCTCGGGATGAGAAGAAGAGTAGAGTGCAGTGCAGTAGTCTCTATGGGAGGTCTGACCTTTCTGAGCTTGAAATTCAGGACGGAGAAAGCAACATCCTAGCTTTTTGGCAAATGATACGAGTTTTCCTCCAGACCATCTGGAATGGAGTTTGGGGTTGGTTTGGGGTTTTGCTTTTTTTGGGTTGGTGTTTTTTAGGGGTTTTTTTTTTTGCTTTAAAGTGTCTTCTATTTGGCAGGCAAGACATCTAGAGACTGGATAGACTGGATAGGAATTAGGCAGGGGCAGGAAAAGCAGCAGGCATGCAGCTTGTGCCCAGAAGCCATTTGCGAAGGCTGCTGAACATCCAGCACGGCCAAGAGAGGAGCTGAAGGGCTCCTGCCTGCTCTTCAGTGTCAGCAGGGTCCAGAGGGAGCTCTGTCCTGTCCCTGCCATGCTTGGCCCTTGCGAGATGCCACCAAGCACCCAGGTTTGCCTTTTTCTCACTGAGGAACCAGCCCTGGGTTTGAAGAGTCTCCATCGCTCAACACTCCCAGGCAACTTGGTGTCAGAGCCCTGGCATCTGCGTAGGGCCAAAGGGATGTGGTGAAGAAGCTGCACGTTGGCATCAGCAAAAGCCCAGGGCAGTCAGGGGATGGTAAAGCTTCTTCATGGAGGGAGAGCAAATTCTAGCAGAGATGGGTTGTGCCTTCATCTCACCTAGGCTGAGCTGGGGTCATGCACACCTTCTCTTCTCTTTGCTGGCGTTTATTAGTGCTGCTGCTCAAAAGGTCCTGGCGTAAATAAGGCTCGGAGCTGAAGGGCTCCTGCCTGCTCTTCAGTGTCAGCAGGGTCCAGAGGGAGCTCTGTCCTGTCCCTGCCATGCTTGGCCCTTGCGAGATGCCACCAAGCACCCAGGTTTGCCTTTTTCTCACTGAGGAACCAGCCCTGGGTTTGAAGAGTCTCCATCGCTCAACACTCCCAGGCAACTTGGTGTCAGAGCCCTGGCATCTGCGTAGGGCCAAAGGGATGTGGTGAAGAAGCTGCACGTTGGCATCAGCAAAAGCCCAGGGCAGTCAGGGGATGGTAAAGCTTCTTCATGGAGGGAGAGCAAATTCTAGCAGAGATGGGTTGTGCCTTCATCTCACCTAGGCTGAGCTGGGGTCATGCACACCTTCTCTTCTCTTTGCTGGCGTTTATTAGTGCTGCTGCTCAAAAGGTCCTGGCGTAAATAAGGCTCTTGGCTCAGGTGGCTGCTCATTCAAAAAAACCAATTAAAATAAATTGGGCTGGGTGGAGGTGCAATAGGGGTGCGAAAGGCTTTGGCAGAGGGCTGTAAATCCTGCTTTCTGCAGCGCTGGAGCTGCCCCGGCGCTTTCCATCTTCCCCTTTTCTCTGAAATCAAAACTCTTTTCCAGCTCCTTCCCTTGCTTTTGCTTCTGCTCTTCTCCAGGAGGAGAGGAGGTTTGGCAGGGCAAGAATTGCAGAGCAGAGACAGTAAATCACTGCTGTATTTTGCACGAAGCCACGCGGGGCTGCGAGTTCCCACTGTGGGCAGCTCTGTGACTCAGGCATCGCCTGCCTGAGGAGTCGGCCCTTCTGAGAGAGCTCCGTGCTTTATTCCAAAGAAACACGAATTTGGTGAGTTATTTTGCAGCGGTTTTGCTGCCGGGAGGGGTGGTAAAAGCAGCCAGGTTGATCTCAGCTGTGTTTGAATGCAGCTTCCCTGCTGGCTTCTGCGTGGAACTGCTGCTGCTGCTGCGGCAAGGTTCCCTGCTCTGCCACCGTGGAACAGAAACACACAAACAGCTCCTGGGTTAATGAGATTAAACGTCTCCAGCGGAACATCTCTATTTGTCTGGAGCACGCTACTTGTCCAGGCACTACTCAAATCCGGGTTTGAAGTCATGAGGCTTTGCAAATCCGCCTCTGCCTGGGCATCATCTCTAACTTTTGGTCCGAATTGGGGTTGAAATTTTCCCCCTTGGGCTCATCAAAGCCTTTCCCAGAGCAGAGCCGTGCTGGCAGATATACCCCAAACCCAGGGGGTGCTGGTTGTAACGCCGCCGGCAGCTCCCTGCACTCATTTGGCAGCCGAATGGGAGGAGTGGGGATTTTGAAATAAGCGCAGCAGGGAAGAAAACCCCATGATCTAAAGCAAAGAAGCGAAATCTCATTTTCTCCTTGAATTTCAGAGGGCCGAGCAGCGAGCAAACAATTATTTCCCTGCCACTTCGCTGGGTAGATCTATAATTCCGGAGTGACAGGGGACTGGTGCTCTGAAAACGAGCTGCTGGCTGATGGATAACGGGGGTGACGGCGGGGATGATGATCTGCTGGCACACAGTGTTCCCACCTCCTGCCTCACAGTAAATCACCGAGACCTCCTCAGGTGCCTCCATCCCTAATTCCTGGGACCCATGGTGGCTTCCTGAGCCTCGGAGGTGCAAGGCTGAGGTCTGGCAAGGCAAGAAATAGCGATGCAACGAAGCGACGCGTGGAAGGAGCAAGTGATTCCATGTTGCCTTTTCTCCCCCCTTGGTGCCCAGAGTTTTATGTGCTGTAAAATTTGTTGTGTGATCGGAAACGGCGGTTTGGCTGGGGTTTGTACAAGGGAGTGCTGCTAAATATAAAGGAAAGGTAATTGTTATTTCTTTCAAGCATAGCTTTCATTTTTCTCTGATCCCGTGGCACGGAAATTCAAATCCTGTTCTTTTGGGGGGAGAGAGGGTGCTGATTCCCCTGCCTCTCTCAGCAGTGGTGTCAGAGAACTGGAGGTAAAACCAAATACTTCCAGAGAGGTTGGTAATGGTGGGCAGGGGGTCAGGCTGGGAGCAGGGCTGTACTCTGAGGGCCCAGGGGATGGTTCCAGCTCCCTGCTATACCCAGCAGCAGCCTGTTCAGTTCTAATTTCCAAGAAAAATCAGGCAAAAGCACTTCCAGCCCAACTGGCTCTTTTCTGGTGTTCCCATGATGTCCTAATTAGCTTGTAAATATTACTGCACTTCTTTTTTTTTTTTTTTTTCTCTTTTTAGGCCAAGCGCACCACGTTAGACAGTAAGGGGAAGGAGAAATGCATTATGCAAACCTGGAGGGAAAAGCATCTGTTTCCCTCTCGCCCGCTCCCAGCACAACCTGCTGCTTAAAAGGAAAAAAGACACAGCTCTGAGAAGTGCCTCTGCTTGTTGGGAAAAGAGAGAGAGACGCTTCAAGGGGTCAGTATTGAAGTTTTTCTGAAGGATTGTGCAGCTGGGGCATGAAACGTGTCGGGAGCCACAGCAGAGGGTGGGAGATGCACCCTCCGTGTTGGCAGGGGGGATGCTCGCTGGGTGCACAGGGCAGGGCCAGGGTGAAATCCCCCTGAAGGTGCATCAGCCTTAGTAAAAGTGTTTGATGGTGGCAGTCCAGCAGGAATTAGGGAGATGTCCTTGTGTCAGCTGAGTTACCTGTGCCTGACAGTCCAGGAGCTGGGGTCCCCTGGGTGCCACCTGCCCAATGCAGAGCACCCCACGCTGCTGCCCCTGAGTGTGGTTTTCATGGGGGAGCTGCTTAAAATGTGCTTGGCAGGGGAAAGCTCAGAGGGGCTGAGGTTGTGCCTGGAGGCTGAGACTGGAGAAATGCAATTTAGCACCGTAGCTTTTGATTAAAATGACTTCACGGGGTTGAGAGGGATGTCAGCAGAGCCGGAGCTGGCATTCGCGGGGTTGGCTGGGCGGGGGGCAGGTGGGGACAAAGGGTGACCTCAAACCATGCTGGCCTCCCATCCTCCTGCCCCTTTCTCCTTTCAGTTCTGATTTTCCCGACAAAGCTCTGAGTTTTGGCAGCTCTTGGCTTCTGGAGTCTTTGGAGAAGCTGTGGTATTTCTTGTTTTTACGCTTAAAATAGCCTGGAATCGGGCTCTTCATGTTTCCTGGAGTCTGCTTCGCTTTCCAAACCCGAGTGAGAGTCACCATGATGCAAATAAGAATTAAAACCCGTTGAAAGCCCTGGGTTGAAGTCGGTGTGTATTTTACGGGCCTGCGACAGCTAATGCAGGAGCTGCTCCCCCGATAAGCATTATTTTGGATCACAATAAAAGCCACATCAGATCAAGGCTTTTGGCAAGACTCATTTTATGGTGGTTATTAAAGGCTGGAGTGAACTGCTTGGGGATGGGCCCCAGGGTGCATCAGTAAATAGAGAAGCGGAGGATCAAATAAAATGAAACATGTTATAGGTCTCTGAAAACCATCTTTAGAAAGAGCTTGGCATTATTATTATTTTCAGTCTAATGTTGTTTTCTGCCTAAGTAATGTCAGGGAAGTGTCTTGAATGGCTTCTTAATTTGCGAGGGTCCCCAAGGCATATCGTTCGGAAGGAATTGGATTAACACTTATGAAAAATAAATTACGGGCTGAGTGCTCGTTAGATGATTTTGAATTAATTTATTGATCTGAGGCTGGAGTGTTAGAAAATAGAGGGGAAAAATAACTGACGACACTTTATCCCCAAACATACACGATTCTTTTACTGAATAAACAAGGAGATTGAGCAGCAGTTTCCTGGCTTTGCTTTGAGGAGCTCGTCTGGCTGCATGGAGGGGCAGAGCCGCCGGGCTTGGGGTTTCCATGGACCCATTGGAGCAGGTGGAAAAGCCTGAGGGACTTCCCTGGCTTTGGCAGCCTGCAATGGCCCAGGGGAAAAGCGGGATGTGGAATCTCCCTCTGGGAGATGCTGTTGTTCCCTGGGAGATGGGCAGTAGAGAAGATGGAGCCGGGCTCTTCTTGGAGGTACAGAATTAAAGACAAAAGGTGGATGGCAGGAGGGGATGCTCTACTGCACACAAGAAAAAAACCCTTTGCAATGGGTGGTATCACCCTTGGGATGGGGGCCAGAGTGATGGTGGGGGATCTCCATCCTTGGAGATCCCCTGAACTCACCTGGAGAAGATCCTGAGCTGCCTGATGTACTGGGAGGCTGGCTCTGCTTTGAGCCAGGGCTCGGGCCAGATGGTCTCCAAGGTCCCTTCCAGCCTCAATTAATCCATGATTAATGAAAATAGCTCCAGACACCACAAGTGTGTTTTTACTCAGTTTGAGCTCCTTGTTGACCCCGGCAGCCAGCCAGCACTCAGGATCAAGTGGTGGAGTACCAAAGTGCAAACCGTCAGTGTCCTTGTGCGAAAGGCACCCCAACAGGGTTGGCTTGAACAGCAACAGGGCTGGTTTTGGTTTTTTTTTGCCAAACATTTGTGGAAACTGTAGCAGGCATTTGCCATTCAACATGATTTTCCTTTTTTTTATTGCTGCTTTCTTGGTCTGAGAGAGCTGTGCCCTCTCTCGAGGTGCTCTCTGCCTGCTACGGCCAAAGAAGTTTCAGTGAAAGCTGGAAACTTGGCAAACTTCTGCGGTATAAAGTGAAGCTGGTGTTTCTTTTTAAAGGCTGAAAGCAAATACATCCCAGGAACTGTCAGTCTATTAAAAACAAAGATAACAGTGTCTCTGGGTGCCTCTCTGCTGGCAGTCATCTGGCTTTCCATATTTACTTGATAACGTGATGGCTAGTGCAGCAGGCACCGATATCTAAAAATAAATGAAGGAGCTGTTCCTTCGGGCTCTGGGTTAATCTGGTTTGGGGAGAAATGGTCCATAGTGCAAGCTCAGGAAATCACACTGATGTTTTTTTAATGCAAAGTAGGATTTGCAGTACCAATGAGCAGCCGTGATGAGATATTTATCAGAAGGCACTTATGTTTTTCCACACGGGTCAGTGCAGGCTGCTCTTACTGGTGTTACTGGTCCTCTCTTCGGTGAGGTTTTGGTTCCAACACACTTATTTGGGGCTCTCTGGCCTGAGGTCAGTGCGATCCCTCTCGCCATGGCATGGCTTGGAGCAGGTTAGCAGTGCCCACCCAGCCTCAGCACTGTCCTACTGGTCTGTACTGGAAGCAGTGGGATGGGGTTGCTGGGATGGCTGTGCCTATTGTCCCCCTGGACGGGGGAAAGGGCTGACCTTGAGGAGCTTGGATATACCTGGAGGGTTTATTTGCCCTGAAAGCTCCTGTGGCAACTGTCTGGGTGTTGATGTCTGGACTCTGTTCCAAGCTGTGGGGTTTGGCCATCAGCAAGGTGGGCACTGCTTGGCACGGGCTGGCTCCACGTTGGCACAATCCAAGTCCCCTGAGGCATTTGGGGACCCTCAGTGGCCAGGTCTGCTGGCATGAGTGCAGAATCCTCCACCCACGGGCAGCAGCATCACTGATTTACACCTCTGGACCATAACCTGCTGATTAAAGTCAATTAGCTCATTAACTCTGCACACAGGGAGCTTTGTCTTAAAAAAATCAAACAAGTGAAAGTTTCACTCTTAACTGGGTCAAGAGCTTTTCTTTCATTATTTATTTTTTTTTTAATTTACTTCCCTCCCCTCCCCTTTCCTTCCTGGAGACAGGATTGGACTTTGTTCAGCGGCGGCGGCGGGGCTGTGGGGATCTCACGCTCTTCCTCGACAGCCGGACATAAATCCTCCGGAAGGGAGGGGAAGGAGAAATACTCTGATGAGGAACCACTGTCCTAAATCCCAAAGCAGGGAAACCAGGGCCATGCTGGGAGCTCTTCCACGGTGAGCATCACTGTCAGGGCTGTTTTGGGGTCTGAGCCCTGGTGCAGGGAGAGGGGGGTCCTGAAGGAAGAATAAGGCTTCAGATTAAAGGATTTGGCAATGTCTGATGAAACAAGAGCCTCCAGGCTTCCATTAATTAACAAATTAGCTCATCAAGATTCTCCCTAATTTGTCGAATATAAAGCTGCCCTATTAATTAAACAAGAGGACAGATTTTAATTTGCCTGGCAAAAATTGCACATGTAATTGATAAATGACACATGTGACCCGGTCTTGGTGAAAGTTTCCAGGAGCAGCGATGGGGGCTGAGCAAGGGATCAGCTCCTCTGAGCCAGCAGCACCCACAGGTGGGGCTTGGGGACCACCCCCTGTCCCCAACCCATCATCCCACCACCTCTCCTCCTCCTGCCAGCCTGCCCTTCTCTCTGACACCCAGCTCTGCCTGTGTTTAATTGATCCATCCACTTCAGCCTGGAGAAGAGGAGGCTGTGGGGAGACCTTATTGCTCTCTACAACTCCCTGAAAGAAACTCTCCCTAGAGAGATGGGGGTCGGTCTCTTCTCTCAAGTCACAGGCGACAGGACAAGAGGAAATGGCCTCAAGTTGCGCCAGGGGAGGTTCAGGCTGGATATTAGGAAAAATTTTTCCACTGAAAGGGTTCTCAGCCATTGGAATGGGCTGCCCAGGGAGGTGGTTGAGGCACCATCCCTGGAGGTGTTCAAAAGACGGGTTGATGTAGTGCTGGGAGGTCTGGTTTAGTGATGATGCTCCTTGTTTGTTGTGTGGGTGTCTATTTTTGTCAAAGTTAGGTTGACAGTTGGACAAGATGATCTTTAAGGTCCCTTCCAACCTAGAAGATTCTGTGATTCTGTGATTCTGTAATTGGGACTGGTTACATCCAGCCACTTGTTCCTCTTCCCCTAAATCCCCTTAACTTTCTGTTTTCCATGGATGCGAATTATTTAGCAGAAACTCTTACTGCCTGCCAGCCAGTGGCTTTCTGTTTTCCATGGCTGGGGAATTATTCAGCAGAAACTCTTACTGCCTGCCAGCCAGTGGTCCTTGGGGTTCGCTGGGGCTGGGGAGATGCTGGGCCGGGGGAGGTGGATGCTGTGACCCACGGGAAAAGCACTGAGGGCTGGGATGCCCAGGGAAATGCTTTTCCTCTCCCTCAGGAATTACAATCCTGTCGTTCCTCCTTGAAGGTGGCTACAAAAGACCCGTGCCAGTTCATGATCCCTGCTAGGGATGAAAGCAGCTCACTGCGGCCACTCGGCCCCGCGGCCGGAGCTTCTTCCTCCACTTGAAGGACAAAGGAATAAATGGGAGGTCACCTGGCGTTCAGATGATCTCCGTGTGGGATTAATTGCTCCCACATCATCTTCCCCAGCCAGATGTTGCCAGGTAAGCAGCATCGAGCTGGAGTACCCCAGGCTCCCCTCTACCAACCTTCTTCCTTTTTTTTCTCCCCCCAAAAAAAGTAAAGAGAAGACTTAACAGGAGAGAGCGTGTGAATGATGTGGACTCCTGCCTGAGTTTTTAATTTAGCTCTATTGATTTATAAGGTCTTTTCAATTACTGAATCCTTCTCGGCGGCGGCGTGCGGAGCGGTGTACGTGAGCTTCATACCCCATCGGGCCGGGCGCTGCGGCGGCGACCGCCTGCGTCTGCTCCAGGCTGACTGAGCCACAAATAATGAGGATTTCCTCTGCAACATTTAGTAAATAAAAGCTAGGAATTCATTAGCACAAGAACTTGTAAGAAGAAAAGACGGGAGGAAAACGGGAAGTGCAGGAGTTAACCATGAACGTAATACATGAAATAATTTTAATTCAGGAGAAGGCAATGTGAAATCTTATTAAATTTTCTTCTTTTTTTTTTAAATATATTTATTTTATTTTTTTTTTATTGTGTGGGCATGGCTGGGCGATTTCTGAGGGAGCTGGAGATGAAAAAAACACGTGGACAAGAAGTGACCTTCCCTCCCTGCTGGACCCTGGCCATCCCCACCGCCTCGTGGCTCTGGGATGGGAGCTGCTGACTGGGGAAGACACGAGGAGTCAGGAGCCTGAAAAGCTCTGAAATCCACCCAAAACCAGAGCAGCCCACGCCTGATCGTTTCGCTTTCTCTTCCTAGTGAGTGCTGGAGTATTAATAACCTTTTGGTGTAAAATTACTGCGTTTAAAAAATTTCATTACGTCTCTATGTCACGGGACATAGAGCAGAGGCAAACCTAATTAAATTACTGAGAATTAAATTGCTGGCCCCTCCAGCAAAGCCTGGGGGAGGGGGTCGATCCCTCCAGCTTTGCAAGGGATCTGAATTACTCAGCTCAGCTCTTCTCCCACCAAAGCCAGAGCCCTGGGGAAGGAGCCCAGTTCAGCCCCTGTGCCTGCCACTGGGAAGCTGGGGAGGGAGGGGGGGAGATGATGCTCATGGTGGATTTGTTTATTAAGGTCCATAATTAACAGTGATGAGATCTGCAGGAGAGGGAAGCGGTTGCCTCCATGAGAACAGGGGGAGGGCGAGATGGTTTTGGTGCTATTTAAAGGAGAATCTGAAAAGGCAGGAGGCTGCAAACACCGAGGTTCCTGCAAGCTCAGCAGAGCTGGTTTCCCCCACCAGCCTGGACGTGGCCGGGGGCTTGTGTGGGGGGACTGGCTGCTGCTGACCCTCCTTCCCCGTCCCGGGGCTGGTTATTTCAGAACACCTTTGCATCCCTTTTGATGTGGCCTATTTCTAAAACCCCAGCAGCAATTTGCAGAGGATTTCCTGCTGATTTGGGAGGCTGGGAGCGGAGCGAGGGGGGCGATGTGGCTGGGTGTGCAGGCTGGGGGGATGGACTGGGAAGCTGGGGAAGGAGGGGGGGAGATGATGCTCATGGTGGATTTGTTTATTAAGGTCCATAATTAACAGTGATGAGATCTGCAGGAGAGGGAAGCGGTTGCCTCCATGAGAACAGGGGGAGGGCGAGATGGTTTTGGTGCTATTTAAAGGAGAATCTGAAAAGGCAGGAGGCTGCAAACACCGAGGTTCCTGCAAGCTCAGCAGAGCTGGTTTCCCCCACCAGCCTGGACGTGGCCGGGGGCTTGTGTGGGGGGACTGGCTGCTGCTGACCCTCCTTCCCCGTCCCGGGGCTGGTTATTTCAGAACACCTTTGCATCCCTTTTGATGTGGCCTATTTCTAAAACCCCAGCAGCAATTTGCTGAGGATTTCCTGACGGATTGGGAGGCCAGGAGCGGAGCAGGGGGGCGATGTGGCTGGGTATGCAGGCTGGGGTGATGGGCACAGGGACACCCCACCACCACCACCACCCATCCCTCCAGGCTCCATTTGCTCTTTGGCCACCCCAAGGAGGCCTAAACTGCCTGGAGAATTGTCCCACAACCAGGATGGACCATGCTGGTGCCAACTGTGGCAGCCTGGCAGGAGATGCCCTTTCTTTGACCATACATCCCCCATAAACCATGTTTTTTGGCAAATGAGAACCTGAGAAATAGAGTTATAGGTGGAGTTCCCATTTTCTGCCCCAGTGCTAATGGTCCTTTTCGGCCACCCCGAGGAGGCCAATCCTGCCTGGAGAATTGTCCCACGACCAGGACGGACCGTGCCAGTGCCAACTGTGGCAGCCTGGCAGGATATGCCCTTTCTTTGACCGTACATCCCCCATAAACCATATTTTTGGGCAACTGTGAACCCAAGAAATAGAGTTATACATGGAGTTCAGGAAGAAATTTTTTACTATGAGGGTGGTGAGACACTGGAACAGGTTACCCAGGGAAGTTGTGGATGCCCCATCCCTGGAAGTGTTCAAGGCCAGGCTGGATGTGGCCTTGAGCAACCTGGTCTGGTGGGAGGTGTCCCTGCCCAGGGCAGGGGGGTTGGAACTGGATGATCTTTGAGGTCCCTTCCAACCCAAACCATTCTATGAGTCTATGAGTTCCCATTTTCTGCCCCAGTGCTAATGGAGGCAGCAAGTGTTGCTCGTGTGTTATTCACGGCTGTGGTTTAACACCTGTTACTGGGGGGGCTCAGGGTAGAGTCTTCCAAGGTGGAAAAAAAAAAAAAAGGCAAAATTGAAGTAATTTAAGTAGACAGTTTATGCTGTTGGTGTTCCAGCAGCTATCACCGGCTCTGTTTGGTGCTGTATGTATTATTGATGAGGTTTCATTAATATGCAAATCTGCACCACTTGATTGGCTCTCCTGGCGTGCTCCCAAGGCCCTTATAAATTATATAAGGACCTGGCTCCGCTGCCACGCTGGGGCTGGGGCGAGTGGAGGGCTCAGGGGGGCTGGCAGCCCCTCACCCAGGGCATTGGGGCTGGCTGAAGTCCTGTGCTGAGCTGGAGCTGCCACCGGTCCCTTCCTGGTCCCACTCTGCTCCTGCCAGCCCCGCATCTCCCCTGGCTCCCCACTTTCCTGCTGCTTTCCCCCCCTCTGATCTCTTTGCAGGCAAACCCAGGAGTTGGTGTTGCATTTTCCAAGCCGTGGTTATTTAGGGGGAGCTCAGGCTTGTTGGGTCATCTCTGCACCCACCATGGGGTGCGAGCGAGGTGGTGGGAAGTTTGAGGAGCCTGTAGAGGAGGAGAGGAAAAATCCCATAAAAATCTGGGGCTGGAATGGACGCTTGGCAGCAGCCAGTTTCTCTCCTGGTCCCTGATGTGGGCAGAGCGGTTTGTTTTACACGAGCTCCTACCGGCACGCAGCAGGAAATTACACCTCGTCCTTCTCATCCTGGATAAAAGATGTGATGCAGATGCACCTGCAGGTTAATTAAGAGCGAGCAGGACGCCTGCTGCAAACCTTGTGCTTCCAACTCTCCATCCGTGGGCAGAGAACTCCGCTGGCTCTAACGAGGGATGGGGGAAACATCCCAAGAGCCCACCTCCCGACATGGTCCCTTGGCTAATTTTCTGCCCAGCTGTGAAGGTGTGAGCAGGACACGGCGAGCAGCCTTTTCCCCAGCGTTGGGCTGCTGGCTGGGAGAATCCCAGGATCCAGAGGACGTGTGGCTGCAGGAAATTAAAGCTGGATAATAGCAAAAGACCTCTGGCAGGGCATGTAATTAAAGTGAGGATTTGAGAGCAGGTGGATGAGGGGGGCAGGATGGGAAAGAATAGCTTCTGCTTGGGATTAAAAAAGCAGAGACAGAAAATACCCCCTTCTGCAGGGGATAAAACATGAGTAATGATCGTCCTGCTGCTCCCTGGGCAGCCCTGCTTCTTCCCTTGCTCTTCCTTTAAGATTTGAGGGTAAATGTCCTTGGTGGAAGCGATGTTTGGGCTGGGAAACCAGCAAAGCTGCTCCAGATTTAAACAGGGGGAACGGGGCAGGATGAGGGCAGCCCCGGTGCCGGGGGGGGTTGGCAGCATCCTGGGGTGATGGGGACACCCAGCTCCCCGCAGCCATCACTCTCTGCAGGATGAGGAGGAGTGGCCTGGGAGGGAGGAAGGGTTTCTCTTGGCACGGGGAGCCTCAAGCTGTTGGTTTGCCTGCTGGGATGGAGAGAAGCCACTCCACGTCTCCAGCTTTGAGATTCTGAGGCTTCTGGGACGAGTGAGGAAGGCTCCGGTGCCCTTCCTTCATCCTCCTCACGGAGCCTGTACGGGTGGTGACGAGGGTCCCCATGGGTCCCCATCACTGTCCTGGGGACCCATGGCCAAGGGTGGGCAGGAGAGGAGCTGAGCTGCAGACAGGGGCTGTGGCTTGTGACCCTGCTGTTCCCCTGGCAGGAGATGCTCAGAGCCTGATTAAAATCGTGCTTTAATGACGTTGCCCCTCTCACTCCCAATTAACTCAGCAGTGGCCCCACCACCGCCCCAGCAAAAAGAGCCGGGGGGGGGGAAAGGATGAAGGGACCCCAAATCCCCAGCAATTATCCCAGTGGCCAATTTAATTTGCAGGTGACAGCGAGAAGGCAGCAGCGATCCAAATATCGCCCACCCCACACCCACACTTTCACTCTGCTGCTCAGCTGCTGGAGCCCTCGGCGGGGAGAAATTGGGGAAAAAAGCCCTGAAAATGGCACTTCCCCATGGGGGGGGCTGTGGGAGGCACCTCAGGTCCCTGCCAGCTCCCACACTTTGTCCTTGCCTGTGCTGGGGGTGTGTGTTTATGATGAATTAATCTCTGTCAAATGAAAATGGTGATTTTTTTTTCCCCACCTGGCAGATGCCACTTTGACTGCGGGTCTCGCGGCGGGTAAACATTAATTGCAGCACGCCTTTAAATAGGAACAAAATTGACAGGACTGAATTACTTCACTCCAGTCCCCTGATGCCAAGCCGTAAATCATGCGCCGGAGTTTATAGAGACTTTATGTGTCTTGGGCTGGGCTGGATCAAAATTTTTTGAAGAATAATGACACATTAATAATAGCCTGCCTCGGAGATAAAATTAGCAGAGGGGTATTTTTGCTTCGATTGAAGTTGGAGCTGGGTTCTTTTGCCTTGATACCG